CCCCCCCCTGCCCCCGTTCTCCCAGTCCTTCTAAACACCAATCTGAGTTTTGGTAACTGCCTAAGGGCGTAAGGCACCGGTATTTAAAAAAATTACTTGTAAAAGCTTAATTAAGAGTGAAGATCACAGGAGGGTTTACAGATTTCCACTGATTTTGCTGTACCATCGAAGAATTCACAAACTAGCAAGACTGTTTCGAGCATGAGCTTGTTGGTGAGAGGAGTTGTTGCAAAAGGAAGAACACATCACGTATATCTCACGTTGGAGGATACTGGGGTCATGAGACGGCACATTTGCATATCACATGGAATCGAAGAGTAACTGGGCAAGGCGAAGGGACTCAACCGTCAATATCATTTCCTTGCTGTTCCTTTCCTTCATTTCCTTGTTCCTTGCTGTTAATAGAGCAAAGAAATGAAGCTGGCGGCTGATCCCCTTCATCTTGCTCAGTTACTCTTCGATTCTGTGTGATATGCAAATGTCCCGTCTCATGACTCGAGTAGCCCGTTCAGTGACATATAAGTGATGTGATTAGATACATATATAAGATTGTGCCCCGTCGTAATTGTTCGTTTATGTATTTGTTTACTTTTTTTAAAATAAAGCATTGTTTGTTGGCTGAGTGCTCACCGCATCCATGCAAGCACATCCATCCGGGCCCAGGTCTTATAGTTCCTTCGCGCGTTACAGAGTAATTGGAGCAGGAATAGCTTCAGAGTTTATCAACTTTTTTTTTTTACTTAGCGAATTTTCCATTTTGCGGCTCTGCGGCTATCAGTAGCTGTTTGCTTAATCCTCTTATCCACCCGAATAAGTGTCCTAGGCCTTCCTCGTAGCCTTTCGCTTGGCCGGTTACGTTCCTCGCATTCTACTTAATTTTTGTGCTGGCGGTTCTTTGATCTTCCTTTTTATGCGTTTTTGCAGTGGGTGACAAAATGCACTCGATTCCATCGCGATATACTCGGACGGGTCAAGCGCATGGCAATTATCATACGTTTTAAAGAATAATCGGACCCCTCCTCTTCACATTCGAATGCGGATTGCTTACCACTGCAATAATGACCCTTATGTTGCAAGACTAGCTAGAAGCACTCTTTTTTATGCGTTTTTGCTGTGCAGCGCTATAGCAGCGCCATACCGCTGCTACAGCCAGCAAAAACGCATATTGTCGAGAGGCTGTCTGTGCGTGTGTGTTCGGGAAGCGAGTGCATTTTGTCACCCACTTTCATCTCAACAACCAGGAAAGCTGGGAGGCTGAAATTTCGGATATATGTTCCTACCCGTGTGTCATCCTCCCGTTTTAAGATCTTTCCCCATACGCGCTTAACCCCCGCGTACGGGACCACCAAAGAAATATGTTGGCGGGAAACGATTTCGCGAATCAGGCAACGTAGAAGGCTGAAACTTTGCAGGGATATTCTCTGTGCGCGTGCGAGATAAAAATTTTAAACTCAGCCCTCTAGCTGCCCAACCACAGCCTCAAGCAGCTCTTGAAGCCAAAAATCGTTAGCAACTCGGACCTGAATTGCAATTCTACATGCAAATGAACATGGATTTTTTGAAAAACGACCGTCCGAGCAATACTTTATATTTTTCAATGAACTGAGAATTTGCAAATTGATGTGAAAAAATTTGAAAATTAATCTCTGTGCTGGTGGCGATGGCGGTACTTTGATCTTCGTTTTTTCATTTCTCAGCGTAAAATACATGGGTTTTTTGCGTGATATGGTGATTTTTCAGTGTATTCATCGATGGAAACAGGCGTCTCAGAGCCTGCGGTGGCTGTGCTTCACCAGGATGATAAGCCGAGCTGTGCTGCTGCTGCTGCCGTGCCAGATCCGGTATCTTTTGCGGTTAGTTTTTACTTTTCCCATCATATTATTACTAATCATCATCTGTAGCACTTTTTACTATTACTAACATCCTTTACACAATTAATTTAATGTTAATTTCTACCAACTTCTGTTACCACAATAGTCGTACTGACGCGGAGGTCCAGCTGTGGTAATAGTAAGAAATGTATACGACTTTTAGTTTTCACAGATTATTTTTTGCGGGCCGAAACATTTCTTACCAATATAATAATTTCACAAATTTTTAATTTTTTATTTGTCATTTCTTACCTTCTTTTTTAATTCTTCTGCTTATTTCATCATAATTTTCTACTGCCTTTTACTGCTTGCATATTCTCTCGGCCTTTTTTATATGCGGCGAAACTGCGTCTAAAGCCAGAGAGATGAGGGATAAGTATGTCTAGTGCAGGTATCAGTTAGAAATTAAAGGACTTACCTGGTTATCTACGGATTCTCTCATTAAAATTGCCATAAACTCGACTGCAGTGATTTCGATAAGCAGCTGTTGTTGTCCCCAGTTTGATTTGCGGTACCGTTCCTGCATCCATCTCGAAAAACTCGAAAACCCCTTCCTCATTCGATCTTACTGGGAGGAGGAAGCACCCAGGCAGTAGCCCGAGCGGGGTAGCACGTGCCAATAGCAACCACTCGTTGGTAAAACTGTCTATGGCCGTCTCTTTCGGAGGTTGTTTACTAGCAAATAATTGCGCAAATTAGCTTCTGATCGGCCTCTGCATTGCGTGTGTGTATGCGCGTGTACGTGCATGTGTGTATGTCTGCCTACGTGTACGTATGTATGTGCTGTGTGCGCTTGGCTATATGCGTATGTATATGCTTGCCTATATGTCTGTATATGTATGTGTATGTGTGTCTATGTATGTATGTGTGTGTATGTGTATGTGTATGTATGTGTGTATTTATGTGCTTGTGTTTGTTTATGTGCTTTATTTCTGTGATAAAACTATGACTTATATCTTTTTATGCGTTTTGTGCTGTGTAACAGCAGTACAAAACGCATATTGTTACGGGGTTGTCTG